CGTTTTTTTTACTTTAGTTTAGTTAGGACTAAACTTTACTGTACTTAATACTATCGATAAATAAACTTATATTGTTATTGTACGACCTAACGTCAAACCTATTTTAAAAACTTTGATCAGTTTATAATATTCTGTTGTACAAAATGGTTAGTAAAGTATATTTACATTCCCCTTTTGTTGTTACTTCTTGTTTCATACAGCAATTGTAGCAACTTGATCACTGAGCTTTGCAGCTCTCTGCCGCAGGCAAACTGTTTGTCGTCGAATGAATAATGCGCAGTTTTTCTTGGGGAAACATTCTAACTACGCGTGCTTATGCAGCAGGTTCTCAGTCAGAAAGCATAACGGTCGTACATACAAACAAGCAGAATAATAGTATAGATAAGAGGTTGTTTTGAGCCCTTTGAATAGTTTATTTTAACTTTGGGTGTACAGTATGTTTTGATGTTTGAATTATCGCTATAGCTTTTTCTCATAGAACACAGACTGTTAAAAATAAAAATGAATTTGTCAAAGATTATATTTTCACCATTAGCATCAAGTCATATTGTAAATGTACATTATGTAGAACTAAACTGAAGTCTGCATCATATGAACAAAAGTGAATAGGAAAAAAGTTTACTTACTAACGTAGCTCTTTGAATTTATTTTAGTGGTCATGGATTGTATTCTCTAAATTTTTGTCATTGTTAGACACAAAACATAATATCCTACATTAACATTTTCTGTTTAAATATTACACTTTTCTCTAAAGAAGGGAAAACTACAAGAAATCACTATGGTTAACTGAGTAGTAATATCTGGATAGTTCTAGTTGGCTATTAACCATCAAACTTCACAATGATTTTTGTTAGTATCTAAGTATTATTGTGTTAGTGGTATATTGTTTTGGCTCTCAGTCTGTTATAGAAACATTTTGTATAAGTAGAAGATTAATGAGACACATTGTTACTTTTTCATTATAAAGTTTATCATGTTATTGATCAATTTTTCTTGCTCTCAATCAATCATAGAAACATACATTGGACAATAGTAATAGAAGATTGACAAAAACGGTAGTACTGTTTCATTATAAGCTATTGTTATGCTTGTTAATTTGTTTCAGCATTATAGTATTGTTTAGCATATTTCAATAAGCATAAGAAAGTGTGATTACATATTTAATGAGGGGTGCTTTAGAATTTAAACACCACTTTTAACATTTATGATATGCTTTAGTCTTCTCTGAAAAAACAACTAAAGTTTTAATACTGAATTTATACTGGTTTATGTTGAAGACTTGCTGTATTTGCTACAAAAGAAGATGGAACAGGGATACCTCAGGATATCAAACTGTTTGACATTTTCTCTGAACAAGTTGCCCAAATTATACAAGTAGGTAGATATATGTTTTATACAAAATATTGTCAGAAACGACTTTATTTTATTACTACTTTACTTGGTAAGGCTGAGCATGGCAATCCCAGACTACAGATTTGAGAATTCTTGGTTTGCATCCCATTGCTAAAAAATGCACTTTGGGGCCATTGGTGCATTAAAAGAATGATCGTATGATCTCACTATTTTGTTAGACAAGAGTTTCTATTAGGTGCCATTGAGTAGCTGACCTCTATATAGTCTCTCTCAGTATGAAAATTGTACAATACTCATCTTAATTAGTCTGTTTTTTGGCATTAAATCACAGTTGGTTTTAAAAAAATTTCATATCTTTTTGTCTTACTATTAATTTTGAATCAATGGTGAATTAATAAAAGAATGTGAAAAAAATCTACAGTGTAATTTAATTTTATCACAAATATTAGGCCTGTTTATTCCATTGCTTTGTTAGCTTTTAGCTCTAACATTTCAACAAGTTTACTTACTTCTGTGCATATAGCTAGTATTTCAGATAGACTTTTGTTTGCTGTCATTATCTAGACCAACTAATGAGTTCTAAAATTGAATGAAAATCCTCGTGAGCAGTGAATTGTGGTAGACAAAAATAGATATATAATGCTATATGTACACACACACCTTTGGTTTGAAATTCAAAATGTACTAATTAAGAGGAGCATCAGAAACTATGTAGCATGATTTTCTAACAAATATTAAACCTGTTTGGACTGACTGACTGTAATTTCTGCTGAAAATTGATTATGTTGTAGTCCAAGTGTTGGTATTATTTATTTTTATTGTGATGCTATCTTCCAGAAATTGGTTATTAATAAGAAGTTAAGGATTTATTTCACTTATGAATTACAGAATCAACTTGAATTCTAATGATTTCTTAAAAACAACTAAAATATCTATTAGTATTTTATGGTTTAAAGTTTAGGATTTTTTACCTTATTGTTATTTTTCAGAGCCTTAATAGGCTATCCCACTAGTGGGGACACCAATTAAGATTCAATGTATTTGTGTGTGTTTTTGACTCAATAGGTTGTCTCACCAGAAAATAATTTAAATTTGATATTTTTATGTATACTTTAGTCTCGCCAAGATATGCCAGCAGAAGATACTGTCTCACTCCAAGTGTCTCTAATTAACCTTGCCCTCAAATGTTATCCAGAACGATTTGATTATGTTGACAAAGTCCTTCAGACATCAGTAGATATATTTCAGAATCTAGGTATAAAAAGGTAAAGATTACTGACTTTTACTAAGATTACCTTGAGTTTATAGAAGGCATAATAAAATTTTGTTTACTTGTACATTTTAAATAACATCAAAGTGTAATCTTGTTGAAAACCTCACATTTCTTCGTACATCTTTTGATATCATTTGGTTCATTAATGAACTTTTCCAGAGGTTTGTAAGAAACCCTTCCACAATTAGCAACTCAAACTTGCATTTACATATGCATTAGGGTATCTCCTACCTTATTTTATGTATAGAGTTCTCTCATTTCATTAACAATCATTTTGTTCAATCATATTTTCTTTGTTTAACACTGTTTTATTACTGTGCTTTTTATTTCCTTTTCCCTCTATTAACTTGAGACTTTCCAACTTGCTTCTGAATTGAGACATCTTACTTGTTCTTATCATTATTACTGTTAGCCTTTTTTTGCTTGTACTGATATCTTGATTGTAGCTTTTGACCTCATGGTGTCATTACTCAGACACATTTGTCACTTCTATTGTTTTTTTTTATGCTTTTTCTCCATCTACTCCTTTTTAACAGATTTTTTTTTAGGGGATGATTCTTTACAGTAGATATCTGTGACTTGTTGGTGAAAAATTTCTACAATAAATAAACAAAACACAGTCCACTTGTTTTAAAATAATATATTAAAACAAGTCCAGCGTATATACAAATCTTCGTTACACTGCTGGTTATCACAGTTATATCCAGAGCTTTAAATAATTGTCTTCATCAAAGTCTACGCAGGCTGGTTCAATTACTTTAGAACACAATTGACAAGACAAAGGATTATTCTTACTCTGTTATTAAAATACAATCTGTGATAATTTCTCCTTAAAAATCACCACCAGATGCTCTTTATGGCTAAACACACAATCATGTAGTGTAGATCTATCTATCTAACTAGCATCTGTCTAACGTTTTTGATGTGTATTTATACCCCAACATAGGTCTAGAATGTTCCACACACTGCTAGATATTATGATGCAATTATACTCAATTAAAACAACAAGAAAAACTTGGAAGGTTCTAGTAACATGATGTAATAATATAACAATCACCATTTCATAACTATTGAACTACACAGTATAAGTTCTGTTGAATATAAGCTTTTAGAGTTCTCTAAAGTATAATCCTTAAGGTGGATTTGTCTCCTTTTTTTAACTTCATCTGTTTCTCAGTGTGAGAATCTAGATACATCTGTGTCGTGTTGTTCAGCTAGTGTACTGAAAACTACAGTTTAGCGTATTAAGATAAAATTTGGTTAAATAATTACTTCTAGATAGATACATCTCCACTGTTTTTCCCCTTGGCTGGGTACCTCTGTGGCTGAAAGCGAGACTACCACATGTGTAGATAATATGTGAGACTGTTGATTGTCTTTTGGACTGATAAAGTTTAATAATGAATGACATGGCAAAGGAAGAAATGAAAACCTAGTTTACAGTTATACAGTACTTTATATACACGTATATTTTGAGGTAATACTTAAATGAAATATATTCTTATTACAAAATCTGGATACTTATATGTATGTAAGGATAGGTGTGGATTTTAAATTCCACAATAAATATACTTAGTTTTCAAAAGCATGGACTTTATATGTTTGTATGATTCTTTACTAAATTCAATATCAACCAAAAACTTTTTTTTTGTAAATATTTATATATATTTTCATGTATTGAAAATTAATTTCAAGCATGATATTGCCTGAATATCCTTTATGATATCATGAGTTAGGCAAATCAACACGTGGATTGGCATATATCTCAGAAGTGAATTTTTTTGATAGATGGATTTTTTATATAATTTACACTACACAACCATTATTAACAAAACAATCCAAAGGAAACAGTGCTCGTCTAAGCTGTTTAGTTGGTCAGGAAAAACAATTTGATGTTACATGAAGCCTGACCTTTTTCAGTAGCTTTATTAATTTTCATCTTTCCCATTGAGATGGTAATTATTGTTTTATAACCTAGACATAAACCATTCAGATAAAAGTTCTAAAGCCTGACTTTTGATCATGGCATAGTTTCCTGTTACACTTATTTCAAATATAATGTTATAAGAAATAATGTCCAGTTGATGTTGTTAAGTATGATCACATTCAGTATTTAGTTATGAAAATATAAGAAATTTTATAGCTCTAAATCCAAAATATCACAAATTTAAAACTGTGTAATATATGATTAGATGCCAAGGCTGTTATGTTTTTAAAAGTGATGTGAACTTGTATCTTTTAGGGTTGAATATAACACTCCAGTTGCTAAAGAACTGCTTAGACTGCTGAAAATCCCAGTCCAGATTTACAATAATCTTCTGACAGTCCTTAAGTTGGAACACTTTGGATCCATGCTTGATTTTTGTGACTACCACAGCCGCAAGACTATGTCCATATTTGTGCTTAATAATGCTCTAGAAAATGACACTTTAATTCCCACATCAGAAGAGGTGAGTTTTCCTGTTTGTAATACATATACACTTTATACAAACACAGGGGTAGTAAAAAGTACATTTCCTTGAAAGAGTGAGGGTAATATCAATTCCACTATTCATTTAGAGTATCTTCAACAATTTAGGGACAGCTAACCCAGATAGTTCTCAGTAGCTTCGCTTGAAATTCAACTAACAAGAACAAGATACTGCCTAAAACAGTTAAAGTATAATCAGAATTAAGATCGCAACAGATAATCTTATGCTTGATTTACATAAAAATTAACAGACAGGAGTAACTGATGCTATTTTATATATATAAAATATTGGTTTTTGCCTAGACATAGGTGAAATATTTTGAATTCCAGTTTTCCATAATTTTGTTCATAGTTAAGTATTATAATTCTTTTCAGATGCTTGTTTTATTAATAAACAAGAGAGTTGCTTGATAATTTTTCGTCAATAGCTTAGTCTTAGTTGAATTAATTGACAAAGGCTTTACAATTTTGCATATATCATCCTTACCTAAGAGTGACCTGTCAGTTTTTTTGTAAATACAGTATATCCTTGTGATATAACATGAAAAGCTAGTCTTTACTGTAAAAATTACTGTGTGGATTTAGTCAATTCACATAGTTGAACTACTGATTATACAATATTATGAATTAAACTTATCAAAAACATACATATGAATCTAAGTACAATAACTTCCTAACATATATATTTTTTCCTGAGTAACAACATTATTTTTAGTAAACAGTGAACTTGTAGATGGATTAAATTTATAATTGTTTACTTTCTGTAGTCTTTAGATGGATCTGATTTCCACAGTAGTAATATTCAAGTAGTTTTTAAGTAGATCAAATTTTTACACTACTAATATTTCTGTTTTCTATAGAAGTATTTGATTTGTACAGTAGTAATGTTTCTTACAGTTTTTAGGTGTATCTTGCAGTAGAAGTATTTCTTTAGTCTATTGATAGATCTGATTTTTACATGTTTCTGTAATAGGCAAATCTGGTTTTTACAAAAGTAGTGTTTTTATAACCTTGTTTGTACAATGGCAAGTTTTGTACTATTTTTAGGTGGATCTTTTACAGTATTAATATTTTTAAAGTCTAGATGGATCTAATTTATTACAAAAGTAATGTTTTTATAATCAGATTGTTATGGTAGTAATGTTTATGAGCCTGCAGGTGGATCTGATTTTTATAGTATTTTATATTTTGTAAATTGATAATAGATCAGATTTGTATGATCTTTAGTTATTTGCTGTATTGTCTTACTACCCAATTGTGTAGTTAAACAGTAACTTATTTCCAATGTTAAGTTACTCTAAATTATCAGAGACATTAAGTAGCCTTTCATTGGTCACTAGATATTTTTAGGGATTATAATATATAAAATTTTACATATAATGGTGTCGTGTTTTTCAAGGGAAATGAAATCTGTAGTAGTGCATGAAAGAAATAACTAGTTTTTGTGTTAGTTAACTAGTTAGATATATGCTGTTCTTTCTTTAATTGTACAGATTTAAAACTAACCAATATCTCCTAAAAAATATTACACAATATAAATTGGAAAAGTATTTTAAATTACCTAGGTTTATTTAATTCTTGGTTAATTTTTAGTTCTGATCCATATAAGTAGGTTGCTTTGATCACAAATTCATGTTACTTTCACCATTCCTCAGGTGGGTTTAATTTTACAACACTAACGTTTATGTAGTGTGTGCGTTGTAATATCTTTGTTCTGTGGATCTTATATCTATAATAGTAATGTTTCCATGTTCCATAGTTGGCTCAGATTTGAAGCCTACTCAAATATATGGAAAATTGAGAGGAATGCTGTTACTGTTATTAAAATAAATATCAATTTCACCCCACTTGTTAACAAAATCATGCATATGGGATGGTTGTTTCAAGACTGATTTAGCTTCAGTGGAGATGTGTATAGCTACAGTCATACTGTTTCTCCCTATGCCAAGAGTTATCTATCAACTATTGGTGAAGTTTATTTTTAGATTGCTTGTAATGTTTATTTTATTCAAAATTTTTGTTAAATTTTACTTTTGATGTAATTAGTGACTGATCAATGAGGTAATTGATGTTATATTTATATAAGAGTAAAAGTATAGTGTACTTTCATTATACTTATGGACTTCTCATTAATTAGTTACAATGCAAGCACTGTTTACACTAGTAATATTCTTTCTAGGTTTAAGTACGATCAGGTCTTGGGTTGTACAGTTTTCTGTTTGATTTTATCGGATTAGGTTTACTGTGAAAATGTTCTATTTCAGAGCATGCTTCACATTGACAGTAATTACACAGGTCTGCGATATATTTTATTGTCTCAATTTTTACATGTTCTACAGTAATTCCTGCATGCTGAATCTGAAAATGATATCCATTGTTCTCCATCACGTACAGGTTTTTCACAAAATGTCATATGTACTTTTACATAAGTGAATCATTTTCATTGAAATCGGGTCACATTTTTTTTTATGCTTAAAATGTTGACAACCACTGGCTGTAGACTTCTCTAGACCAATTGCAATGTGAGAGTCTTATCAATCATTCTAGAACCCAAATGTAACAAATATAATAATAAAAATGTTTATTATGGTAAATGAAATAATAATTTGATCTAAGTAATAGTTTTTTTCTTCCTGATTTGTAAAAAATCTTTATGTGGTAGAAAAAATGAATATCCTTCATTAAAACCAAAACAACTTTTGGGAATTTTAAATTTGTGGGCCTGTGTTATTATTCTGTTATTCTGGAACAAGGTTTATAGTGATCATGTTTATATTGTATATTGGTTGGTGAGGTTTACGATGGTGGCAAGTTTGCCATTTGTGGATGGCTCAGTTTACAGTGCTTGTGTTTCTGTGGTATATAGACAAACTATGTTTGTAGCAGTTTATAGCTGAAGTTAGGTTTACAGTGGTCAGGTTTCTTTAGTTTACAGGTGGAATAGATTTACAGTGGTTTTTATTATTTTGATTATAGTTATAGCAGTGCTTCTTTACATTTCTGATAACAATTAGTTTTTTAAATATTGTGCTAAGAAGCACGTTTTTAAAAAGAACTGAGATGAAGTATGCTTTACATATTATGTTTTTGTGCTTACATTATTAATATTAGGTGTACATACACTACAGAAACTTTCTGTACTACAAACTCAGGTAATATGAATTACGCATTTGAAATTCCAATCAGAATTTATTGTAAGAGGCGGCTGAAGTCAGATTTTCCTCCCTAGCCATACATTGTACAGCCCTAAATATTGTGGTAGTTTAGTTCATATTTATACTGGTGTTGTTTCTGAGGTCTGTAAATTCATCTATTTTACAGTAGTGTTGGTTTTTTTTTGGTTTTTTTTATAATGATAGCAAAAAGTTTCTGTACTTTATAGATAGGCCAGGTTTTATAGGAGCATTGTTTCTGTGGTTTGTAGGTGGATCAGATTCTGACTTTGGTTGCTCCTCTGATACAAGATCAACCTGACCAACCCACTGAAAAGGATGATCCTGAAGACTTTGCTGAAGAGCAAGGCCTTGTTGGAAGATTTGTAACTCTAATGTCAGCTGATACTCCAGATCAACAGTACTTAGTGAGTATAAATAACTTAGCAAGTAAATCTAGTTAAATAATGTCATAGTTTGGTTGCTTTTTTCTAAACAGCTAGTCTTTCATCATACATAGTTATTCATAGTTTAATGTACTTTGTTCAGAATATGTATTCTTAGGTAATTATACCAAAATTATTACTTTTCAGGCAGATATATTTTTACAGAAGCTTGTAGTAAGCACTATTATTCTAAATTCTATCTTTTTTTTTTTCTCTTATAACTGTAAACTTCTTTGAAGACTGCACTACCAACTTCATTCATATCTATATTTTGTCTTGCTATTAATTTACAATTCGTGGTGAATTACCAAGAGAAAAATAAAAACAAAAAACCTCCAGAGTAGTGTAATTTTATGACAAAAATTAGGCCTATTGGTTCCATTGTTTTGCCAGCTTTTAGCTCCAACACTTCAACATTAAATTTTTCTTGGTTCTGTGCATGTAAGTGGCCAACCAATAAGCTCTGATATAGAAGAAAAAGCCTCCTGTGCAGTGATTTGTAGCATGCTTCATTTGTGAATCACTGAATTATACTTAACATGTATTCAAATGAAATGTGAAAACTCTTGAAATATAAACTTAAATAGTTAAAGCAAAGTTATGTTTTTCTTTAAGAAGCATTGAATTATTTAATATACAATTTGAATCAGAAATTTTTTTAACAATGATCAAAAAATGAAAATGTTTTAAAAAATAATTTAGTTTGAAATGGTTCTAAACAGCTAAAATTTTTGTTTTCACACAATTGTTAAATGTTTTATGTGTATAATATATCACAGTTGGTAAATGTTCACAGGCATCTTGACATTTCCTGTGTATGTGTGTGTTGCTTTCTAATTTAACATAAACCTGGTCTAAATAGTGGCAAATACTGTAGCCCTAAATTTGCATTGAGATATGATAATGCATATATAGATTTCGTATGATAGAAACAAAATTCTAGTTGCTGAGACATGATTTTTACCATCTTCAAATATAAATTTATATATATATCTCTTTGGCTGTGGTATTTGAGCATAAATGTACATATTTTTTGTCATTTCTTCAGATTCTCAATACAGCTAGAAAACACTTTGGAAATGGTGGAAACCAACGGATCAAATACACCTTGCCTCCATTAGTGTTTCAAGCTTACAAGTTGGCTTTCCAGTATAAGAGCCTTAGTGAGGAGGTAAGCTATTTGTATCTTCTCTGATAATGTTTCAGTAATAAGAACTGGTTCTCCAGTACAAGTGCCTCAGGGAGGAGGTAAGCTATATGTATCTGATAGTGTTTCAATGCTTAGATCTGGCTTTTCAGTTCTTTATTCTTAATGAGAAGGTAATCCAAGCATACTATATTTGATTGGATTTCAGTTTTACAAACCATCTTTCCTATTCAAGCTGGTTTTTCAGTACAAGCCACAATCAGGAGATGAAATATTGATAAAAGAAGGTCACTGTGAGTGTAAAATTGTATGTCTGCATTGAAACTTAAAAAATATAATTTTAATTTATTTCATAACTATATGCTAACAAATAGTATAAAAATGATATTAAAACATTATATAAATAGTGATTATTTAGTTAATTTTATAAATAAAAATTCAAAAATGTCAAAATTTTCATTCTTGTAGTGTGTGTAGGCACCTGAATTACATCATTTCTACTTCTTTTTTTAATGGCTTTTGTAGCTTGGTTTGGTGTGTACCAATAAACTATGTAGAATTACAAAGAAAATTCTATATATTTCAAGCTTCTGGAAACAGTGTAATATTGGTTGAATTTGTATTTATACCTCCCGTGGAGGATCTTTCAAATGATAAAGTACTTAGCTTTGAAAGTATATTTAAACAACTTACCTATCCTTCATAATGACATTTTTCTCTATTTACAAGTTTTGAAAGAGTAGTCTGGTAATATCACATTTAGAGGTTGAACTTAATCTTTTTAGAAATAGTTCTGAACTAGCCCTGGGAATTTATGTTGCTGTTATAAGATTTTTGGTAAATTGTTTCCAATTGTGTTGCTATTATTGGATTTATGATATATATAGTTTTCAATTGAGGATTTCAGAAATAACAAAAATTCGAGTAAGGATATTTAGATTAGTGAGTACATAGACCTAAGTAGTTGCCAAATTTCATTCAGTCATAAGTCATTATTGGCCATGCAGAATTTATGTATTTTTTAGCAGGTTAAGCAGTTGTTTCAGTTGGTAGGAAAAAAAAAACATATGAAAGGAAAATAGCAAATGGAACTTTCTGGTCAATAATAATAAACATTCCAGTTTTATTTGGTTTGTTCATATTTAATTTTTTCACAAGTTTTGTATGATGTTATTAGAATGAAAACAGAATGATACATTTACAAGATCTTGGGCACACAGTAAACAAAAGAAAGTCTTACGAGGAAAGAAAAACAAAATTTCACAACAAGACTTCTAAAATCTCAAAAACTAAAAATTCATACACATAATAAAATTAGTATACGACTTTGATGCATTAATACACATTCTTTATAAAGTTTGTACAGTTTGGTTTACAGCAACATGCCTTTCAATTGAACAGTCCTAGATTCCAAAAGAGGTAATTCCATTATCACCACTTTTGGCACAATGACCTGGAATTATCCTGCCACATATTTCTGCATACATATCTGAACTGTGACATCTGTTTGCCTCAAATAATCCTCTAATAACTAGTGTCCATAAGCAACATATACACATAATTACAAATGAAAATGTACATGATATAAGAAAATGTGCTACCACTGATGTGGAGTTTAATCAAACATCCAAAAGTGATGATTTTTTTTATTATTGCTATGATCAAACCGTTTTTGTGCTATTTTATTACTATAAATATCCTTGTACTTAAGCATAATTGCAAGAGGAAGCTATTGATGAATTTTTTTAGCATTTAAATATTTTTACTTTAGGTTCTACAACTTAGAAAGAACTATAAAGAAGAAAATTTGAAGTTATACTATTTCCTCTTCATATTAAATTTTTCAGTATGAAAGTTAATTGTAACATGGAGATGTTTCATATAGTGCTAGTTTTAGTTTTCCAGTCTGTACAATATGAATATTTAATTTTGCAGATTGTATATAGCCACTGATTATTTTAATTACCTCCAAATACATGGATGTATATTCTTTTTCCATGAAAAATTGAATTGATATCAGTTACTCAAGTTACTTATTGTAAACATATCTTAGAAGGAAACACACTAACTAGGGTTGTTATGAAGGGTGTGTTTTAACATTTGGAGGTTCAAAACACATCATCAAGTGATAGTATTAGGTTGCATAATTTACCAGTAACCATCACCATAGCTACTAGTTTATATATCTATTTAAAATCCTATTATCTTACAGGTAATCTATACAAAGGAAATAAAATATTCACACGTAATTTAAAATATGCTATATAGAACAGTTATAATGTTTTTAGAATTTAAATATATATATCTTATTGTGGCCAATTAAAAATACTGCAATTGACTTGAACAAATAAAAGCTTTATTTAATAGTCACCATTCCAAGCAGGCTATCAGTCATATTCACTTTTTTGTTACAACATTGTTGACTAATTAAATATGCATATTAAATATAGACAGTGAAACAGGAAAGAGTAACAGTTTGATTATAAAACAAATACAGATCTTCAACTAAAACAGTGTGTAGTTTACAAAATTATTAATGTTTGTGTACATTGTCATATTTATTCTATCATAACACATCCCTTACAATGTCTTCTACTCTAAGTATTCCCTACATATTTTATTGAAGCAATACACCTGCTGTACTGTAAGTACTTCCTTTCCAGTGCTTTGGAATAATATCATGCTCCCATGCACAATGGCTTTGTTCTGGCTAAAATCACCAGTACAGGTTTCCTTACCCAATATGGAACTCTCTCACCCTTGTTAATATCTTTTAAACTTTTATGAAACTTAAAATTCATCATGAGTAAAAAACAAACAAAATTACTTTTATTAGCTTTGAAAAGATGCTTTTTTTTTTATAATGTTGCTCAAATGGTTAAATAGAAATTTACATAGCACAACATAAACTGTTACTAGCATTGATTGGAAGAGTATTCTGGTGAAATCTTCTGTTGTCTTTAAATTAGAAGAGGAAATACATAGAAATTATTATCTTGTCATAAAAAATGCTTGAACATACTAATTATTCATGATCGGTACCATTTTCTGTAAAGTATTGAATTGGTGTGAAGATAAAATTTCATTTTATTTTACATGGCCAGGTGGTTAGGGTGCTCGACTCGCAATCTGCGGGTTTGAATCCCATTCCACCAAACATGCTCACCCTTTCAGCCATGGGGGCTTTATAATGTGATGGACAATCTCACTATTCATTGGTAAAAGAGTAGCCCAAGAGTTGGCGGTGATGACTAGCTGCCTTCCCTCTAGTCATTCACTGCTAAATTAGGGATGGATAGTGCAGATAGCCCTCGTGTAGTTTTGCACAAAATTCATAACAAACCAAACCAATCATTTTATTTTTAAACATGCTGAGAGACAAAAAATATCAATATTTGAAAGAATTATAATGTTGCTTGCTTAAGAATTGTTTTATAGTTGAGACTTTTTTGTTATAATAATGACATTTAAAATTAAGAAATGTTCATAAAGTGGATATTTGTAACAGTTTAAAAAAGTTAAATAGTTCACTTAATGATAAGATTCACATAATGAAAATCTTGAATATGTCATCTTTAATAAGTAGATATGTGGAAGAATAAGAAGCTTTTAGTAATGTGGGTAGTATTGGCTCTATTGATGCAGTAAAGCATAAAATCTTTTTTTATAATAAAGGATGAAAAGTGGGATAGAAAATGTCAGAAAATATTCCAGTTTTGTCACCAGACAATCAGTGCTCTCATTAAAGCTGAAATGGCTGAACTTTCACTACGATTATTTCTGCAAGGAGGTTTAGCTGCTGGACAGATACAGTTTGAAAACCACGAAACTGTTGCCTATGAGTTTGTTTCCCAGGTTAGCCTTTCATTAATTTATATGTGAAAGTTTAGACTTAAAGAGTATTGATCCATTATGAAATTAACATGAACTTTATTTTTGTTCCTAGCCCTTTGTGTTTCTGCTTATGTCTTTTTGAATAGCAGATGTTTATGTATGTAAGCATCAGCATGTTACAAATTATGTTTGGGATTTTCCAAGTTGTAACTTAATGTGTTTTACAGAAATTGTTATTTTATAGCTACAGCACAAACATGTTGAAACATGCTTAAGGTGAAACTTAAATTTTGGAATTTTTATTTGTAAGCTTTCTAAGTAAGTACACTTTTCAGTATATTTGACATAACTAGTTATACATATGCAGATGTCTGATCAATTCTACCAGTACCTAATAGACTTATTTTTAGCTGTGGCATATAGAATGGGTCAGTTTTTTTCTATCAGGTATGAACTTTTAGCTCATAGCTCTGTCACCTCTTGTCCAATTTGAGATCTAATTACAGTTTTGGACTTAGGAGGTCAAACCCTTTTGATTTATGTATTTAACCATGACCAAGGTCTTGCAGATTAATTTAATCTAATCCTACGAAAAGGAATTTCAATTTGAGGATAGGTTGGTAGAGATCCTGATGAGTAATAAAATTGAATTGGGTATATGCACCCCACGCTTGGTATTGCTAGTGTGCAAAAAATATAGCTAATAAAAAGAAACAAAGGTCTGATAGATTAATTTACTCTAATCCTGCCTAAAAGAATTTCAAGTGCCATGGCTATTGAGGATTCCCTCTTGTTTTAGCTTCATGAGTATTAGTTGAAATAATATAGGACTACTTTATTATGTTACTGGTACAGACAAGTCTGATATTATTTCATCAGTTTTTTAAAACAAGATCTATTTTCAATTACATATACAGTTCTGTTTCTCAGGCTTTTTCATTGTACGAGGAGGAGGTTTCAGACAGCAAGGCTCAACTTGCAGCAATTACATTGATAACAGCTACAGTAGAACAGATGACTTGTTTTGGTGAGGAAAATCATGAACCACTTAGGACACAATGTGCTCTAGCAGCTTCAAAACTGCTAAAAAAGCCTGACCAATGTCGAGGTGTTGCTATTTGTTCCCACCTTTTCTGGTCTGGCAAAACTCGAGCAACCAGTGAAGAAGAGGTATGTAATAACTTTTTTTAAAGTACATTGCCATATCATTTTAATCACCAAAAAATAAATATAAATTTACGTATGTATATAAAAAAAAACAGTAAGTATTAAGTCCAGTGAGATGTATAATGTAATGGAAACAAAGTTCTCATATGAATTCAATTTGTATTCAAGGTATTTTAATGAAATATCGTCCTAAACACACCAAGTTAAGTACTCATATTTAATTGAAAAGTTCTATGTTTTGTTGTCCAACACTGTGCTGACAGAAAAAAAAAAGTTATGTGTCATTTAAAAGACATTAATTTGTAAAGTTTTAAGGAATGCAGAAAGATAAACAAAAGATGATATATTCTCATTACCCAAGTAAATTTAGAATATGTTAAATTAATAAATCAATTCTGTAACCAACAATTCTCTGAATGTAAAGTTATCTCATAAACAGCTAAAATATTTATATAGACAGACTCTTCACTACAAAAAGTAACTTAGATTAGATGGAGGAAAAATGTATTCTTGTTTATACTGATGAAATATTTTTTATGTTAATGTCCACTATAAACCCAGACACTCTTTATACAAACATAAATGTATGATGTGTCACAAGATCTTTGTAGGGAAAATGAAAATTTAGGATCACAATTGCAATTAGTAAAACAGTTATCTTTTTCAAACGTTTAAGGTAAAATATAATAGTTATGAAAAATGTTACATTCAATATTTTCAAGTTTTTTATAATAATCAATAAATTTTTGTACTATTAAGTTTGAAGGAAAACCTAAGTTTAAGAGAAATGTAAACTTTTGTACAGAAAAAATATCAGAATGTGATATAATGTGAGCTAAGTTCTCAAATTGAAGTTGATACTTGTTTTTACTAGGACCTTAAGTTGAGGTTCTTATTACCTCTTAACTTTGCCCAGATACACATGAAGAATATCTCAGAAAACCAGTTGCTAATATAATTTTTCATTAAAATAATGAGAACTTTTTGTTTCCATTACACACTTGTATATAAACACAGAGAATTTACCATATGAATATTTTAATACTAGAATTTCTGATTTAAATGAAATTAGTCTACTATGTCCAGTGCTTTTTTACCAACTTACAGCTATAATTTAAATGAACTCCACAACAAGGAAGAGGTAAAACATTCTAATTGTTAATGGATATTTACAGATGCATGATGGAAAGAGGGTAGCAGAATGTTTGAAGAAAGGATTACGTATAGCAAATCAATGTATGAACTCTTCTGTTCAAGTGCAGCTATTTGTGGAATTATTAAACCACTACATTTATTTTTATGAAAAAGGAAATGATCAGGTGAGAGTGGATCTATTTTTCTTAAGGTATAGACACCTTTTAATTTTTACAGAGTTCATCCAAACTTCAATACTATATAATTTAACCTGATTACAATGAGCAAACTACTACTTAAAATAATAATTCTCCTGCTATTTTACAATTTTAACCAAACAACTAAAAGAAAATGTTCTATGAATGAACTAATCTTATCTAGAAGGAGTATATCCATAGACATACATACACCCACTGAGTCATTTTTAGTCATCTAGTATGATACAATCAGCATATATCCGAACTGTTCCCTCTTACAGCTGAATACATTACTATAAGTATGTCGCAAAGTTTGTAAATCCGTAATAAAGTTACTGACCATTAAGCATAGCTAATTAAAAAATTGCAATGCATTGTTGAATCAGTTGTTATAATATAGGGTAAATTGACTGTAACCCAATATAGCAGTTTAAATGGTTTCTAAATAATAAAGCCACTTTATTTCTACTGCTCCATAGATCACAGTTCAGGTGCTAAACCAACTGATCAGCAAAATAAAGCAAGAACTTCCGGGATTAGAAGCTAATGAAGAAACAGACCAAATCAACAAACATTTCCTGAACACTATAGAACACCTTAAGAATAGAATGGATGCCCCTGAGGGAGATGGTGTTTCTTATGGAGGATTAGTTCTTTGAGTGGTAAAGTTAATAATTTCTATTTGTTGAATAGGTCAAAAGTTTTTAGTAAAGGCCATTTTATCACTTATTCAGGATTGGTTTCTTTGTATGCATGGGATTGGAAAATCTCACATTTTTTATGTGCAATAATAGATATGTTAAATGTTTTTAAAAGCTGAACTTTTACATCCAGAAACATCGTCATCCTGTGGTGGAAGATGCGAGATTGTACTATCAACGTTGTGGAAAAATCAGCTACTTCTGTAATTATGGTTGTTTGAAAGTGTAGGAATATTATTGTACATTTGTGTATTAAAATAAAGAAGTCATAAATAACTTGAATTATTTTACCATTATACATTCCCTCTAATATTTCAGGTAGTTTTATAATTGTATATAAAAAAAAGTCTGCTAATTTACGAAACTAAACAGTGCTATTAAATAAGAAACTGTTTTATATCAAATATCACTGAAGTCTTACAATGTGTGGTTTCAGTAAAAGTAGATCATACAATGGCTGAAGGCTTAATTAAAAGACTACTCCACTTGTCTAAAAATCAAGATTTTTTATTTTCCACACAAATTCAGTAATACAGAGTTCATCTCTACCAATCTTCATTGCTCGATCTGCACCTAAACAAAAAAAAAACGTTTGAACAACATAATAAGAAATTACTTATTGTACTAGAATTTAGTACTGTCAATGTTTCAAAATAATAATAGATATTCTTCTATTCCGACATAGTAAAGTTTTTTTAAAGGTTCAAACCTGAAGCTCTGGTCTCTGTATAGAATTTATCTACCTTCCATTTATTTATTTTTACCCAAAGTCAAGAATATTATTAACTCAGACTTAATGACTAACAACTGGAGTTGCTTTACTATACTTAGGGCTATTATAAACTTCTGACATGAAACTTTAATATAATCTAAAAATACCTTACTTTCAATGACATAAGAATCAACATGACTACTATTCACTATACGTACCTTGTGTCATTAGCTCGAACAAGATACCACTTCAATACCTGCAAGAAAAGAAATTTTACATATAAGCAGTTACTTTTAATAATGGATATATAAATTTAAGATAAAAAGGGTCAGCATTATACAAAATTTCTTCACCTGACTCAGAGTGAGCTGATGTTACATCCTACCCTCACTACTTGTGTAGTTCTAATATCCAGCCTGTTACCAATTACATAAAAGCTTAGTTCATTGCCAGTTTTAACAGTACACTATGGCATTAAAGACATTTTATTAATAATCTGTGCAACTGAAAAAATCTAAAGGTATTCCCATCTCAAAATGAACTTACTTGTTTTTTACTAACTCCATAAGGTTAAAAATATCCTTAAAGAACATTTGTTCTTTACTTGACCGTCCCAACCTTAGAGAAGAAAACAAATGTATCACATCCATGTTTGTATTTTTTATTCTTTCACATGCACTTTTTAAAGCTCAGGTTCTTATTGAAATGAAACTAATCATAATTTATTTCATACGAACGAGACTATTCATACATCATTGCTTTTTACATTTGGATATTTTTAAAGTCTAGTCTATAACTTAATAAGCTTTTGTAATCACATTAGTTTTGTACGGGATATGTCAAATGAATTCTAAACTTATTTTCATTGCATTAGCTGTCTAGTTATGAACTGAAAGACAAGATAAAAGGTTATTTTTGTAGTATTTGCCCATAAATAATTCAAACACCACACCAACTACAGCAAAACGGAAAATCATAGACCCCACCACCAAAAAACAAAAATTCACCTTATCATACTAACCCTTAAACTACAATAAGCCTGAAGTTTTTTGCATTGTGAAACAAACAAAAAGAGACAGAAATGAAGTAAAATTCAAAATAACTTAAAAATTGAAGTCAAGCTAAGCTTTTGTCACTAACATGTAATTGAGAACAAAAATTAAGACTGTTACTAAATATAGAAATAATAACTACATATTCAATTATTAAGAGCCACTACCTTACCTAGTTGAATGGAGACTTTAATGCTTCCTACTGACAGAACTGTAAAGAAACAAGCACTTTTAGAAAATATTCAAACAAACCAAAACTATTTCCAAATCTGATTAGTCTCAGACTCTAAAAATTTCAACAGTATATTCAGTCATATGCTTGTCAAAGTTCATCACAGACACTAAAATATAGTTTGAAGAGTTGAATTCAGAAGTTGCTGGCCAAAATTTTTGTACAATACAAAGATAATGACTATTTAGGGATAATATACAAACCAAACCTACTAACCTGAGGTACATGTAGAACTTCAAACTAAGAATGGTGTCATGGCAAATACCCATTGTCCACTAAGATAAAGAAATGTTAAATGTGTAAAAGTAATAATAAAAACATTGGTAGAAAAATGGATTTCTTTACTGTGGTTTTTTTTTTGTCATTAAATATTCAAGTTTAAAAAGCTGTGCCTAGTAATTAAAACTTTTCATGAGCACAAGGATTAGACTGTACATTGTTCATACTGAATTGCTCAGACCAATTTCAAGGACTTTTTGGAAGCTAAAAGTCCATCAAAATCAAGTCAGATTCTACTGAAATTTTATACAATTTTTTGTTCAACATGAATGTAGACTAAAGAAAGTACTGCACTCAACTCAACAACATGCATTAAAGATAAATGTTATATTTAAGTACTTTTACATGTTAAATTCAAACAGTAACAAATACGCCTCAGTTATATTCTGTCTACACATTATCATCAGACAGGGATAACTATATATTCATCATTGACAGTATTTGAATGTTTGTGATTATTACAAGTTTAACAAACACTTTTGTTGTATTGTCTTAATTTACAATGCCTTTTGAATCAGAACGAGGTGATTTTTATGATACAAATAGAAAACCTTTTCAGTCAAAACCATGTTTCTCATTTTGTACACCTTACTTATACCACTGTTTAAAAAATTGTAACCAGGTGTGACTTGTTTGAATAAGAAACTTCAAAATATGAAATGAAGTTCCTAGAATGACTCCAAAGTAACATACAATTATTTATCCTAAACACACATCTATTTTCAATAAATTTTAATCGCTCGATTACACTCTTGTAAAATACAGCAAAAGTTACAGTACAAAGTATCCAGGGAAATACATCAACAGGAGCTTGAATTTGTTTTCTGATTTCAGTTTAAATTTAACTTTTACATTTCATTAGGGTAGAAAAAGCAGATTTAAAAAAATAAGTTAGAAAAACAAATTTTCATTACTGAATGGAAGAACTTAGTCCAAACAACTGCTTAATTTAAGTAATATACAATTGAATCTACTGCCTATAAACTTGCCCAATGGGACTGACAGAAGAATTACTTTTCCTAAATGATAACACCAAGGTTACAGAGTTTAATTTTCCAAATAATTTTAAAAAGGTTGCAATATGTGCACTTTCACCTACAAGATTAATAGGGCCCATACATCTTTGTCTTACAAACTATATTCCACAGCTTAAAATGTAAGCATTATGAACTGATGCAAATTAAAGTATATTTACCTAATTACAACAAAAACCTCCAGCAAATACTTACTTTTTACATTAGGATTAGGTTTCACTTCCTCCCAAAGTAGTACTGATTATATTCCTATAATAATAATAATAGTAATAAAAGTTAACTACTAAACAGAAACTTTTATATTAAACATGATAATACAAATTAGCCTCAGAACAACCTATCAACACAACCATTCAGACTGGGGCGGTGAATATACATCTTTGGCTAATTAATATTTACAATTAAAATACATTAATCTTTACATTATAACTTGATATCAAGTAATATTCAATAACCATCATTAAGGCATTATTAATGTTTATGGTGTAACAGTAAAACACAGTACAGGCAGGTAAGTAGCTTTTAAGAGCCAATCTATGACAAGTTAAATCAGAAATAAGTTTTGTATTAAATACACATCCAACAGCATTGCAAGAGTTCTAAAGATGAATTTTCAATTACTGGATGCTGAAGTCCACACAAGTCAGAAAGAAAATCAATAATGGGTAATCGGGAGTGCAGATTGTTCATGTGACACCAGTGAACATAGAATATATTGTTTGTTTGAGTTTAAGAAAAGCTTACAATATAAACATTTTGATGCCAAGCTTATTGAGTACAACCTATACAAGTCATGATGAGTACTAACAATTAACTCAAACATCTAGCCAACATTTGAAAAATATTTAGGTTTCCCTTACCTCCAGTAGAATGAAGATTTAACTCCCCTGTAATAAAAAACAAATTGAAGTTAATTACTAACATAGAAACCTGTATTAAACATGATAATACTAACTAGTCTCAGAACAACCTATCAACACAACCATTCAGACTGGGGCGGTGAATATACATCTTTGGCTAATTAATGATACTTACAGTTAATACATGTTAGTTGGCACTTAAAATATAGTACCTTTTTAATATAAAAATAACTAATACATAATAAAAACAAGTTCCATACCTATTTGTAATATCCATCTTATGCAGCAGGAAATCTGAAATAGAAAGAAACAAACAAATAAACTTCCAAAACAAAGTAGGTTCACAATATAGTCATAGACCAAGAGGCACCAAAATCAGAACAAAGTTTAGGGAACAAGGCTCATCATAGTCATTCTGAGAGCTAGGTTTGTCATCACATAGAACCTCAAATATATATGTCACTGTAAACTTATGGTATCTTTCATACATTTACTATGAAAATCATTGCTTTACTATTCATATCAGCTAGAAAAACCATTAATACCCAAATATTTTTTTAACACACAAATTCTAAATACTGGGTCAAAATGTACATAATTTGTTTTTTAAAACACCATACTTTGCTCTTGATCTAAAATGTCTTTTTTTACCCAAGAGGTGCAACCATGTTATATTATTAGCTATGCCTTCAGAATCATTGAAATAATGGAAGCTTATCACAGTGTTCATGCAATATCACATTCAGGCCCAAATCTACATACCCACTTTCCAACAGGCTGACATTTACCATATTTTTTAAAATGTGGTCAATGGCCTTTAACAATAAGCATGCAGGTACAAGGGAAGGCTTCTATTATCTTAATTGATCAAAGAACCACATTTGAAAGATTTAGCCAATTAGCTTATATTTACATACCAAAATGTGCTGCCAGAGAGCAATGAACTGGAATTTTAACTAAAGTCTAATATTTCATGTTTGGTTATATTATACAAGGAACTAACATTTCTCCTGAGAACCGAGAATGCATACACCGAACTAGTTGGTATCAATACACATCATTAACTAACAAACTGGGGTTGGTCATTGCGACCAACATGAACATATCCATATTTTAATCACAAAAGTACCGAGCTTTTAGTAAACTAATTTTCCTAGTTATTGTCTTCAAATACAGTCAGAATGTGACTGTCACATCTCATTGAAAGGTGTCTTGTTAACATTAAAAATACTTCATCATTTTTATTTCTTTTCCATAACCTTCAAAACATCCTACACGAATTTTTTTCAGTAAAACTAGATTTCATGTGCTTTACCCTAACTTGACACCACCATGAACAAATTAATCTAAATTAACAGACCCCAGAAGTTTGATTTTAGTTTACTTAAGGGTCACTGATCATTTCCATATAAATTCATATACACATAAAGTTCATTTATATAACTGATAACCTCCAACCAACATCTGAAAAATACTTACTGTGTACAAGGATCAGGTTTCACTTGTCCCCAATGGAACACTGAAGATTGAAATCCCTGTAATAATAAAAATGGAAATTAACAAACATAGAAACTTGTATATTAAATATGACAATACTAACTAGCCTCAGAACAACCTATCAACACAACCATTCAGACTGGGGCGGTGAATATACATCTTTGGCTAATTAATGATGTTTACAGTTAATATACATTACTCTCTTCAAGTTCTATA